ATAAACAAGAGAAAAAAAGCCCCAATAAACACAATCAGAAACACAAAAGATGAAGTCACATCTGACCCTGAGGAAATACAAAAGATTATCAGAGACTACTATGTACACTTGTATGAAAACAAACTGGAAAACCTAGAGGAAATGGAGGACTTTCTGACATCACACAGCCTTGCTAGGTTGAAAGAAGAAGAAATTGAGACCCTAAATAGACCAATAACAATCAAGGAAATTGACTATGTCATAAGAAACTACCTACAAATAAAAAAGCCCTGAACCAGATGGCTTTCCAGCAGAATTCTACAAAACATACAAGGGGGAATTGTTACCAATCCTGTTGAAAGTATTCCAGGCTATTGAGAAAGATAGAACTCTCCCCAAATTATTTTATGAAGCTAACATCACATTGATACCCAAACCAGGTAAAGAACCAACAAAGAAAGAGAACTACAGGCCAATATCCCTGAAGAACATAGAAGCTAAAATTCTCAACAAGATCCTAGCAAACCGGATTCAACAACACATCTCAAAAATCATCCACCACAACCAAGTAAGCTTCATTCCTGGGATGCAAGGCTGGTTCAACATTCATAAGACCATAAATGTAATTAAATACATCAACAGATGTCAAAACAAAAACCACACTATTATATCATTAGATACAGAAAAAGTTTTTCTTAAAATCCATCACCTCTTCTTGATAAAAACCCTTGAACATCTAGGCATATATGGATCATACCTCAAAATAGTAAGAACCATCTATGAAAATACCCTGGAGAGTCTTCCTGATTTCACATGCTGGTTCTGGGTGCATACCAGCACAGATCTTCTATTGATGACATCTTAACCCACAGAAATGAATATGAATGGAGGTGATACACTCAGGGGTATCACAATGAACAAGCAAACAGTTATCTGCAGTAACAGCAGGCACTGCAGCAGCAGCTGCATCTCCTTGGGAGAAGTTCTCTGCCCATAGTTGCTGCTAGATCCAAACAGTCATGGGGTAGAAGCAGGCATGAGCAAGTAACCACTCAGCAGTAATACCAGACTATTGTCACATTCCTCCTCTTTCCCCAGGACCCTGATGTCCTTGTCACAACACATCATGTGCAACTGTTTTTATAGTTTGGGAGCTCAGAGTCCATGTCTGGCTTCTTCGGGCTGGCAGTGAAATGCTTTATTAATACCATGTGAATGAAGTAAGTTTTCAGATGGCACAAGGCATCCTTCTTAACTTTTTCTGGCACAGCTCCTGGCAATTTTCCTGGTGGGAACTGTCACATCAGAAATGCAGTGGAAGGAAAACAGCAATCAAGCAATGTAATTTAAAAGAGGAAGTATAACTTCAGGCAAGTTTTTTCTTTTTTCTAATTTCTTCTTCTCCCCCCCGCCCCAGCCTTCTCTCAAATCAATCTGTAGTATAACTTTGGGAAAACGCACCACACAGTATTTAGAAGAGTCTAAATAAAAGTTAGCTTATGTAAGGTTATAACATCTCAGGCCTAATCCCCAGACGATGAGAATACAGGAGTTTTGGACTTTCTTTCTCCTGGGAAAGTCCAATAGCCCAAGGCTGTTCAGGTTGTCATAACTTTTCTTACTTTCACATCAAAGTAAAATAACAGCAATTCAAAATAAGAACAAGGGAAGATACTGAATTTATAAAGGAAAAAAATAGATGAAAAAAAGAGTACTGCTTTGAAGAATAAAAGAATATTTTTGCTGCCACTGGGAATAACAAATGTGGTTTGAGCTCAGAGACAAAATTTTGTTTTAAAGATGAGGATGGGAGGCCAGGAGAGGTTAGTTGTTTACCTTGGGTCACACAGTGAGTTAATAGCAAACTAGAACCAAGGTCCTATCTCTTGACATGGGCTGAGTCTCTTCCTATGTGATGCTGCCTCCACTTTTTCTTCAGTGGAGGAATGAAAACCAGTAGGTTTTGTATGAGTTAAGAAGACAGATTCTCTATATAGACAAGAAAAGAGTGTTACTTATATCCCCTGGGCAAGCAAACTGAGTCACAGAGGGCTTTAGTGTGGTGGTCCTCACGAAGGGTGATTTTCCCCCCAGGGGACACTAAGCAATATCTAGAAACATTTTTGATTGTCCCAACTGGTGGGGGAAATGTTGTACTTGTCCTGGGTAGAGTCTAAGAAAGCTGCTAAACGTTCTACATTGCACAGCATTGACCCACAAATACATAATTATTCAAGGTCATATGCACTGGACAATAAATATATATTTTAATCTGGTGATTATGCACTTAAAATTCAGATTCATGCTATTAATATCATTAGAATGTTGCGCAACCTGGGTTTCCTATGCTTTTTTTTCTTTTTTATCATCATTCACCTACCTGTTTCTTGCAAACTCCTTATAAACCTTCAACCTTCAGTGCCAGACTTGACCTTAACCTTAAGCAAATTTGTCACATGCTCCGAGTCCTTGTTCTCACTCAACTCTATCCTTTTCAGATACCTGGCAAGGGGCTGGGCTGCTCATCCCTCTCTCCTGGCAACAATCGCTCTCAGGGTAGTTCTGCCTTCCTTCACTGCCATCTCGGCATGAACTAAAGTCAGTGTATTACCCCTTCTGGAGAATTTGCATGTCACACTTACCCCTGTTCTGACATTTGTATCCTGCACAAGGAATTTCTAGCCACAGTGACTAGGCTGGAGAGGTGTTTGAGAGAAATTCAGAAAACAACCATGCATCAGCCTCTGTTCCACCTGAGGCCTGGACCACCCAGAGAAAACACACACAGCCCCATCTACCTGGAAATCAGGGTCCTGGCTAGACTCTTGCAACTTCAAAATATTTTCTTTTGAGTTCTCTAAACATACCTTTTTATATTTTAAGGTAAATATCGTTTTTTTCTTTCTTTCTTCTTTAGCTGTCCTCTGAAATTTCACAGTAGATATCCAGGATTTGCAAATAGGAGGGTAACTGCCTGAATGACCATAGAACAGTTGATATTTTTTCCCTAAGTGTCGTCTTTTTTTTTAACTGATTTTTGGAGGTTCAGTATTTTTAGTTTTTAAAATTATTAAACCTGAATAACTTTGGAAGGACTCACAGAGCTACTTTAAGATTCAAAGGAGATAATAGAGGTGAAAGGGGTTTGAAAACAATCACCACTTTGTAGATGCAAACAATGGTGTGATGAAAATAGAGATACTGCTCAAAATACCCCTAGGCAGGCCTTCTGCCCCTTAACACCTACGGTCTGCCCCTCTAAAGAGATACCAAAAACCCAAACCAAACCATTCCCCAAATAGACTCTCTCTGTCTAGTTCTAAATCAACCAGGATATATGTTTTCAAAATTAAAACTTTGTGGGCTTTCTACTATTAATAAATTTTGAGGCAATTTGCATTAGGAGTATGTGCTTGTTCAACACAACAGTTTGTTTGGCCAGGTGCTTACAGACAGCCTTAGGTTAGCTACTTCACATTTGCTTCCCTCTTGCATTGGCTTGTATTAGGCAGTGATTTCTGACTTCTGGATTAGTAAAAATACAATGTGCAAGTAAGCTTAGACTGATGAGTGTGCCATTTCAGAATGCTTAAGAAGGAATTAGTTTATATTTAGCCACTGCTAGCTATTGTTTTTCTTCTCATTGTAAACTTATCATGGTAACTTCAGAAAAGAAGAAAAAAAGGAAATCTTGTCTGTCAAACAGGAAAAATAATGATTGACTGTAGGTCTAATACATGTTGTTATAAATGATTCTTACAAAGAGATTCCCAAATCTTTAGAATTCATTGTCTTTTCATTACACAACATAAACTAACAGAAAACAAAACTGCTTTGAGATATTAGTTTCTACTTTTACTTCTTAAGCTCTGCTGTTTCCTAAATGTAAATGTAGCTTAGTCATTAATAAAATGAAAACAACAACCCTTCTTAAAGGCTAACCAGAAATTATATTTCATATAATTATTGGTCTAATATTATATTCACAATATTGATTTTGTTTAACTAAAAAGATCTAATTCAAAAGTTAATTAATCTAAACGCAAACATAAAATTCTTCCAAAGAGAATTTTTTAGAAAACTGAAAGAAATTGGTAATATAAGGATTTTTTTTCCTCTTTGTATGAAATACCAGCTAGGTTAACGTTTCTTTAGGAATATTCTATTATTAAGCTGGATTTGATATACTTTTCTGCACCGAGGACTGGCTTTCTGTGCTGGGTATATCAGCGCAATAGAACCTAGGCACCCCAATTAATTCACGTCACATGCCTGATCCCATCTTTCCATTCGTGGGAATTTTCTCTCCTCTCTCAGGAGGCTGTTCCACTGTAGGAGCTCTTCATTTTCAGAGAAGTTTCAGGATCTCCCACAGAAAATGGCATGGGAAGCAGAAAATGTCTAGATCTGAAATCAGCAGACCTGGGTTCCAGCTGAGGCTTTGTCACTAGCATACTGTCATCACCCTTTGTCCTAACTTGTAAAAGGGTATGAGTAATGCCTGCCCTACTTACCTCACACATTACTGAGTTGAATCAGTACCCATGTTATAAGTGATAAAAAACTACAGTGACGTGTTACTGTAACAGGAGCTAGGATTAGATCAAGTCGTTCTTTTCCTAACTCTTACTATCAGTGTGAAAATGGAGAAAAGCTGTGCCTTGCCTGTCTCCTGTGCTCCTTGATGTTTGGCTGATTGGTTGTTTGATTAAAGTTACTGACATTTTTGTCATGATCACTCCTCATCACTAGGCAAGAGGTTCTTTAGAATAACCAGCCTATAGTACATGAGATTTATCACTATTTGTCCGAAGCCAAAGAAACACAGAATTGAGATGAGAATGTTGTTTTATAGCACATGACAAGCTCAGAGAATTTTAAGAGATACTATGAGCAAGGATTTTACAAGTAAAAGTTTATTAAATGTAAGTAATTATTTCAATAGCTCTTAATGAACTGGCATCTATACTGAGGCAAATGACATATATAATCATTTTCAGTAATCAGTTGTTGTGGCTTACCATGGCAGACCCCACGCGGCTGACTTTGATAGGATTCCCTCTACCAGAAAGGTCCATTTGTGCTTTGTCCATCACATATAGGCAAGTGTCCAGGATGCCATCTTCAAACTATTTGGGGGGAAAAATGAGAAACTGCTTAATTTCCACTCAGCAAATAGGATATTCTCTGAAGAAAAATAAAATGAAACTGCACTGTAATGTCTAGAAAAGTATATTTCCTATAATGTAATCTCCCATAATCTTTAGTGTGAAATATTAAAGTGGAAGGAAGGAAACATCCTCTTTTATTTTTCAGTAAAGTGAATAAGAACACAAAAGCAAGTCAGAAACTCCTAGAGAGCTGATGTATTTCGGGATCATGAACTGACTTGAAGTTCTTTAGAAAACAGTACAAGTTAATTTAAAAGATCTCTCCAACACATTGGCTCCAGAGCCCAAGGCGAAGAAATGAATGATTTCCAAAGTCAGGCCAAAGCCTCAAGTCCTTGAAAGTAACATAAGTCCTCACAGATCTCAAAAATAAAGGGTTCTCAGGTGCGCCACAGAAGGTACTTCAGACCTATTTGCCCTGCACCCCAAATAGTAGGAGAACTCATGTAGTGACTATCCCTCTAAGGTTTCTCCTCTTCTGAGACAAGGTGGAACTCAGGACAAGGAGAAGGCAGAAAGGCCCAGAGAAAGTAGATTACACTATCAAGGGAAGAGACTGGTACTAGTTCAATTTCCTCAGAAATAACTGCTAGCCACAGACAATACCAGAATTTTCTTTAAAAAAGGATAAAGGCCAAATAGTAATAAAATGGCCTGAGTGGACATTAAGCAGTTTCTCAGAAATGCAGGTGGGCAAGCCTGAGCACTGGGCATGGGAATCTCAGGATTCAGGGTAAAGAAGCTGGTCACAAATCCAGATAGGCAAGATCACATGGGTTCCAAGGCCAGGCTGGAGCCATGGGTGAGGGACACAGGGCGAGCTCATATGGATGTCACATCAAGGCACCTGGAGCCAATAAAGTATCATGTGACTTGGTATAACCAAGAGTCTGTGAAATTTCTTCCCTGGATACTCAGAACAATGATGCACAATTCTAGCACCCCAGCCAAAACTCCTGAGAAATGACATGTTTACCTCCTCTCAGGTTGCTACTTGAAAATCATTTTTAGTCACAGGAAATGCATTCATTTATGGGAAAATGGTAAAATATCATTCATTTGCTCCACTGTTAAAGATAGCACACTGAAATAGTTTAAATTATTGAACATTTTAAAGAAATACCATTTGGTACTTTATATCTAGACAGTAACTTGAGTTTGCAGCTGATAAAATGTTTCTATGAAAAAGCCCAATGGGCCTTCCTTTGATGAAATGGTAACACTCTTTTCTAATTAACAGTATCCTAGGCTAACACCTTTTGAGAAAAAAATAAAAGTTACTTCTTTGAGTTGGTCACACACCTTGCAGCATTCTTTGCATCATTATCAAAATATCTTTTTTATGAGAAAAAGAAAACTTCAGTCCATTCCAGGTTGAGCTAATGAGATTTCACTGTACTAAGATGCCAAAGCATTTCTCAGTAGAATGCCACATTATCCATAGAATCTCTCCTCTTGGTAACATTGTAATAACCACAGATATGTGGTTTCAGCTAATAAATTATGCAGTTGTCTTTATAAGTCTCTACTCCTATGCTCTCTGCCTTGGAGTCTCAGTTCCTGAAAAGCAGGAAATTGTGCTTGTCTAATATCGATATATAGTACCCCACAGGGAAACATATGACAAAAATATTAAGTAAAAATGTCCTTGACAATGACAAATTTTAAACAGCTCACCTGACCATAGCTCCAGCTTCTATTCTTGATGTCACTAACATCTCCGTAAAAAATTACCCCTATGTCATTCAGCACGTACTCTTCTCTTTCTTTCTCATCATCCAGATACACAGCATCTTCTGCATCAGGATTTAAACATAATGACCATTACCAAACCAGACTGTTTCCACATACTTGCAAGCTTTTTTGTCCTTAAACTGCAACTGAGTCAATTAAACAAAAAATGCCTTTTGTCTCAATAAGCACAGCTCATTTCCCAATATTTTTTATCAATGGTGAACATAATCAGCGCCAAAGATCAGTCTGCAAATGATGACATTTGTCAGCAAAATTCTGACAAATTTTGGCTCTTTGCGTTCCAAGAAGCATAATTAAATTGATATGTCTCATTAAACATTTTATGATTCTGGTGCATCAGTAGTTTCCGAATCAGAGTTCTATGATGCTAATGCAGATCTCTAACACAGATCAAAAAATAATTTCCATCCTTTTAGTGTGAACAGAACATTAGCTGAATTGAAAAATGATTTTTAAAACAAATCTGGGGCACATGAGAAGGCAGCAGCATTATTTGTCACATCTGGTTCATGGCCCATTACTGGCAGGAATAGGGAGGCTATAGGTTGTCTCTTTGTAATGAAAAATAATGTGGATGTGCTGGTAGATGTGTGTGCCCAGCCAGCTTCCCTTTCATGGCAAGGACTTTTTTCCCTGTAGCTATACTCTCAGGAAGGCCATGCTCCCCATCTACCGACCTCGTCATCAGTCTGATACTGATTCCCAGGACCAGTGTGGGAGTCACACAGCATCTTTAACACTGGCAGGACCCTACAAGTGTGAAGCACACTCAGATAAATTTGTGTGTTTGGAACAGGTATTCAGACTTTCTTATATGAATTCTACTTCAAGGTAACAAACTAATTGATGCTAATTTCAGAAGGAATGGTAGAAATAGAATAGTATTATTTTGCAATCCCTAATGAAATAATGGATTGAGCCGGAAATAATTAGTTAAGAGGGGTGCTTCATAATGAATGAATGAGACAGATAAAATCTGATCCTATTGATAATTCTAAATATATGCATCTCCTGCTAGGATGAATGTTCTGGGAAGCACACAGCATGAATTATAAAGTATTTTTTTTCTTCCTTCCCTAACCCCTACTAAAAACACTTGAAGATGAATCTAATTGAGTCTCTAGATCTAACTGCTTAACAGAAGATACTACAGTAGCAAAACAAACAAACAAACAAACAAACAAACAGGCAGGCAGATGCCACAGTGGTTAGAAAAGCATATTTGATGATGCCAGGGGATGGAATCAGCAAAATTCAGAATATGGAAAGTTCTACATAAAAAGGACTCAGTTTCAGCAACAAGTTCATGGTATGAAAAAAATTAATGAAAAGGAATGCTCTAGAGTAAAATATTTAAGGGACATAGCAACCAAATTTAATTGACAGACCTTAATTCAAACATACTAAAAAGAAATTTTGTAGACACTGGAAAAATTTGATTAAAGACAGGTCATTAGATAATACCATGGAACTCTTGTTGATTTTTATTAGCTGATATAACTATACACACACAAAAAAACAAACCTATATATATGAGAGGACCCCTAAAAAAAAAGAATTATTTTTTGGAGGGCAAGCCCCTTGTAGTATAGGTTTCCCCTATTAGGTAAGTGTTCCAAGAACCCATCAGCATCAGTGGACCAGTTATCGTTGTTGTGAGAGGCTGAATTGGGCTTCAGTTAATTTCTTTTTTGAGGGTCTTTTAATACATTTGCCCATTGCACAGTGGGTAATTTGCGAGCGTACCTGCCCACACTGCGCTGAGTGTTCAGCAGTTTTTGACCAAAGCCGGCATGACTCTGTTCTCCACGCTCCCCATTCACTTGATCTCACTCCGATTGCCTTTGTTTTTAGTTTCCCGAGATGGAAAAAGTCCTCAAAAGGAAACGTTTTGCTGATGTGGAAGAGGTGAAACAAAAAACAGCAGAAACACTAAAAGGCATCAAAATTGGCCAGTTTTGAGCAGTGATAAATGCATCTTGATAGGTGTATTGCATCAAACAAAGAATAGTTTGAAGGTGACTGAAGTTTAAATATGCAAAAGTAAATACACAATTTTTATAAATAAATTCTGTCTTGGGGGGATCCCCCTCATATATATATACATATTTGTGTACACTGTATATGTGTCTATTCTTGAAAAATGCACACTAACATATGTAGGGGCAAAACAACATGATGATTGGAATTTTTTTTGGAAATACTAAAGCAAAAAATAAGAGAAAGAAGAATAGATAAAGCAAATGTGGCAAAATCTTGATAACTCTTGAATCTGGGAGTCGTAAATAAATAAAGTATTCATTGTATTATTATTTTTACTTTTGGGTTTGTGTACAAATGTTCATAATAAAAATAAACTTTGTCAAAGTCATAAAAGAAAACTCAAATAAACAAAAGCAAACACAATGTTTCTAATCAGATGTAAAAATTCAATATTGTAAAGATAAAAATCCTACCCAAATTATGGTCAGTATGAATCCAATCAAAATTCCACTCAGAGTTTTTAGAACTCTGTATTCTGATTCAAAAGTTTATCTGGAAGAAACAATGTGGGGGGAAAAAAGTTGAACAGTAAAATGTTGATACAAGAAAAACTGAGGAACTCACCCCCCAATTTATACTTTCTTGTATCTATGAGCACTGCCATATAATTAGTAGTGTTTCCCTTTAAACATGGAATATCTCCTCTTGATTTGGGGCTTACTCTGGTTAATGCAGTGTTAGTAGAAGCAATGCAAACAGGAGTTTGAAAGGTGCTTGCATAGCTGAGCATGTGCTCTTACAACTCTGCTACTACCAGAAGAAAAATATGCCTGCAAGCCCACTGCCAAAGGAAGATGAGAGTCCCCAGAGCAGAGGGTCTCCACAACACACAGGGAGAGGGAAATTCTCACCAGCTGTTCCCACCTGAAGCAGAGTTTGACATAGAAGCTTAGTTTAGGTGGTCCAACCCCAACCAAGCCACAGGTCCACGAGAATAATGTTTATTGTTGTATGTCACTAAGATTTTCTGAGTCTTTCCTATGTAGCATTACAGTGATTATAGCTAACTGAAACTAAGCTATAATTAAAAGTGACATTACACAGTAACAGACAAATATATGGATGGAGCTAGATGTATATTAGATCTTAGGGTGTACTAAAGATGGCACTTAAAAATCAATGGATAATAATAGGGCTGATCAATATATGGTATTTTGACAACTGGCTATCTGTGTGAGGAAAAAAAGTCAGTAATACTTTCTCTCATCATATACAAAATGTATCCATAGATTTAAGAGATGCATTTGTGTCTCTTCCTGCCAATTCTTGACTTACCTAACCTAACATGTTCCAAATATGATTGAGTAGAGAAATATAAAATTCAATAAATACACTAAAAATGCTCAACTAGAGACATACAAACTAAAATAACCATGAAATAGCAATTAAATAAAATAATTTGTCTACCATATTGGCAAATACAAAAACAAATGGTAACACCTAGTACCGATGAGGATGTGAAGAAATGAATACTACTATATACTACAGCTATATTATGAAATACTGCAACCTCTTAAAAGGGTAATTTGGCAGTATCTATGCAAATTTAAAATATGAATTCATATTGACCAAACAATGGTATTACTAGGTTATCTATTTTGCAGAAGCATATTTGCATATTTGCAAATGTATGTGCAACATTCAATATTGCATAATAAGCTCTAATGAAATGGGAAACAACCCAAATAGTTGTAAACAAAAGACCAAATCAATTATAGTATAATCATACCAAGCAGTCATTAAAAAAAAAAATGTATGTTCTGATCTAGAAAATTCTCCAAAATATACTGTGTGAGAAGTTAGGTACAGAGCAACATATATAACACCATCTCATTTATGGTTGAAAAATTCAAACCCCATAGATGTATATATGGATATTAATATGCAAAATGATAGCAAAATATCTGTAACCATATAGACGTTAAAGATGGTTTTCTCTTGGGATTCTCTGCAATTGGAAGGTTGGTGAAAAAGAAAGTTCACTTTTTACCATATGTATGTGTACATGTGTATATATTTGAAAGGAACAATACAATCAATTGTCAATTTAAATGAAAGTCACTCAAAATACTTTAAGTGGATGGAAAGACAACAACATGTTAACAACTAGTGTCTCTGATTTGTAATATATGAATTATTTTATGCTTTTATTATTTTTTACTTCTATAATAAGACTTTTGCCATCAGAAAAAGTTATTTTTAAATAAACTTGCATTTAAGTGAAGCTACTTATTTAATAAGAGGTTAACAATTCCAACTTTTATGTATTCGTTTTTTTCTTCAAGAGCAGTAAGGTTGTGCTCGTTTTTATCATCAATGTCCCTATTAAATATCATATAAACATAACTTTTTCTCCTTCTTTAAGTCTCCTTGAACCACTTTTTCCCCAGTACAGATCAAATTAAACCTTGTTCCTTCAGTGGCCTATGGATGCTGGAGTAACATTTATTCCACTGCATGAACATTGTCGTTTAATGTAATTATTTACTGAACAAGCATGTGTTTAGTATTTACTATGTACTAGGAACTTTCTAGGGGCTGTATACAGACAAATTAACTTATTAACATATATAAGGTATCCCCAGGAATCTCCTGGGAATATGAGGAAGGTATCCTCATTTCATAGATGAGGAAACTGGGGCAGAGAGAAGCAAAGTAACTTTCTCAAGGCAATACTGCTAGTGGGATGTGAAGTCAGGATTTGAATATTAAGCTGACTCCCAATAGGGAGTCCAAGGGATAAGGTCACTGTGTCCCCAGCCCCTAGCACCATGCCTTGGAACATGGTAAGAAATCAATAAATGTCCAGTGAAAGAATAAAAGACATAGACAATGCCTGGAACTTACAGAGTGGGAATAAAGTCCAGGAGAATGAAGGATTTATTTTAGGCATTGGGTTAGTATTGATGGGAAGTTATAAATTTAGGTGGTAAACCATGAATAGAGAGGAGTTCTGTAGCTCAAGACTAGGCCACCCTCTTCCTTACAGTGGTTAAAT